AGAAACTTGACAAATACCTTGTTCAGTTGAGTTTGGATATGACAATGTGGGAACTTTGAGTGAGGCCTGAAGTTCTTGTGAGCTTCCTTGAAGTTCTCTCAAGCTTCTCCAATGCTAAACTTGCCTTGTAGATGCCTGAATCTTTCTATAGAAGTCAACCTGCAAACTCAAAAAGTTAAAATGGTGAAGCTTGAAACAGGGGTTACAGTTGTAATACAAAGGCCTGGATAGTTTAGGTGTGATGTAGGGAAGATGTTTCAAGGGTTAAAAGGAAAAACGCACGAGCCAATTTTGAAATGGCTTGAGTTCTGCAGAGATTGCCCTGTTTGGGCTGAAAATGGTGTTTTTTGTGTTTGAGAGTGTTTGGGATGTTAGGAAATCGTGTTTAGGCTTGCAACAATGTTCTGAAGTTGTTTGAAATGAAGCCAAACTTGCCTTTATCAGATACACAAGTTGTCTTCACTTTTGCAAGTTTTCTTGCTTTTGAAGAAAAGTTGGAAGTGACAATGCCAAAGCCTGTACAGGCTTGCTTGCTAGCTGCACATAGTTGGTACAAGTTGCCTAATATTTGTGGATATTGTTTGCAGCAAAAGATTAGGTTCATGGCTCAAGATTTGCAAAGTTGGAAAAAGCAAGCTTTATCAAAGTAGCAATGTGAACTTTATGCCATTTTTGGATTAATTCAATGTGCAATGCTTCAAAAGTCAGAACAAGGCCATTATCCAATGTGTTTGCATTTAATTATGGAGTGTAGAAGGGATTAGGACCTGTAAAACCAAGTACAAGCATGTTTGAAACTGATTTGCAACTTGAACCATTGTGAAAATGCCTTGCACAAAAGTGATAAATTGCCATTTTCATTCCTTCGATTCTCCATAACCATAAATGATCTTGGAGAGTTCTTGGAAATTTTGGAAAGCTTGTAACATGCTATAAAATACATATTTGAAATGTATTTTGATATTCCTCTTTGAACTAGGTGAAAAGTTGCCATGAAGTTAGGTCAAAAATATGCCTAAACTAGGGCAAAATTTCACTAAGTTAAAAAGTTTATGGACCCTTATTCACAAAATCATAACTTGATATCCAAGCATATTTTGGGAAAACTTTGTGAATAAAAGTTGTATATTTTGTGAAGGACTACAATTTTCATGTTGGAAATTTTCTTTTAATCCAATTTCATCATGGTGAAAAAGTTATGGAAAGTTGAGAAAAAATAAGAAATTTCCATAACTTAGAAAAATTCTAAGTTATGAAAAATTTCAAATTAAAACCCTAATTTGAAAAATTAGGTTTTTGGTCAACAAGTTTCACATTTTGACATATCTTGATGAATTATGACCCTTGGCACTTGATTTTGACCAAAAAGTCAAAGTTTGACTTTTCAGTGTACAGTTGATTTTGATCAGTTGACTGCAAAATTCATCTGTCAATCCTATGCATTTGAGATCTTTTGAGCCTTGTGATTAGGTCAATATGATTCCATTGAGTCCTTGAAATCATGCTTGAACCCAATTGGCCATTGGCTAGGTCAAAATCAGAAATTGCCCTTTCACAGTCAAAACCCTAATTTTGACAATTTTGCCCTTTCGATGATCTAATCAAATTTCTTGAGGAGTTGTGGTCCAAACTTTATCAAATGGTTCATATGAGTCTATAATGTTGATGTGGATAAAAAATTATGAAGTTTGACTGTGAATTGGCCATGGTTGACTTTCCCCCCAATACAATTGATTTTTAGGTCAACTGTCCAATTGACTGGGCAAAAATGTGACTCAAGGCTTGAAACTTGGTATGAGAAATATTAGGAGTCCAAGATGGTGTATGAAAGTCACATGAAGCATTGATGGTCCAAAAATCCTTGTGCAAACTCAAACCCTAATTTCAGGTCATCAGTGCAAGATGAGGTCTTGAGCTGAGCAAACCCTAATTCTGTCTTGAGTCCAAAGAGTCTTGTGGGGGAAATCTTGATAAAATGAGAGGGAAAATTTTGGGGTACAACATTTATGCATCACTGTTTATGTTTCAATAACTTATTTCATAATGTTTGAACTTTTTGTTGTTTTTGACTTGTGGGTAGGGATGGTGAATGAAAAAAACTAATGAGGATTAAGCTAAAGTGAGCTCTACAAGATTGTGTGAAAGACCCAAAATGACATCCATTCAAATTTAACACATGTTTGCAGCTCTTACTTCAGCTTCATCCTCCTTTCATTGTGGATGCCATTTTAGGACATGTATGTTTCAGAAACATTTTATGAGTTGATATGTTATTGTTATTAGCAATAAAAGTTGTATGTTGTATGTAGTTTATGCTATGTTGTTGATGATTTTGTTGTTGTTAATAAGATTTGTTTGTTGTATCTTGTATGTTGTTTAAGGTTTCTTGTTGATGAACATTGTTGTTAATGTTTGTTTACAAAATGAATTTATTATATCTTATGTGGTTTAAGTGTTTTTCCAACCCGTTACCAAATATATAACTTTTAGGATTGCATTAGATAATTATGATATTATATATAAATTTATATTAGAAAATAAGTTACATTGTTCAATGCTAGGCAAGAATTCTTCATCCCATTGTCTAAATTTTGATCTTTAACCGTTAGAACTTGGCTTAATGCTTCTAGTTTTTCAAACGTCCATTTCTCCATCTTTAATTTTGTTTGCAAAGTAAATAATATTTTTCAAAATGAACTAGAGGTGAAGGAATGGGAGTTTGAAGAACTAGAAGTATTAAACCAAGTTCTAACCGTTAAAGAGCAAAATGCAGATAGTGGATGAAGAATTCTTGTCAAGCATTTAACAACGTAACTTGTTTTTCTAATATAGCTTAATTTATCATATTATAATGTTCTAGATCAAATTGAGAGGTTATATGTTTAGTGAGTATTTGTGAAATAAGCATTCCACATAATTTATAATACACTCGGTGTATATATCACAACAGTTGTTCTAAACAATCGCTGTTAAATGTTATGCGTTAAGAATATCATAGCAGTTGTTTAAAGTAACTATTGTGATAGGTAGCATTCTACCTAGTTTATAATTATGGTCACACGACTATGATGGAAAGAATCATACTTACAACCACCCCTACCCCCATAATAGTAGGTCAAGCATAGTGGTATCCCTTTTCCAACTATTTTGAAATGGCTTTTACGTAGTAGTGTCATGGGTATATAAGGGTCTTCAATCTGTGTTCTGAGAACAAGTTTTGGATTCCATCTCTTAATTTATTCTTAGATCTTTTCCATATGACGTGTACCTCCCCGAATAACTTTCATAATCAAGGGCTCATTTACTTCCATCTGGTCCATCAGTAGTTCAACCCATTTATTTTCTAGGTTAGAGAGATTTTTTGGGACATTTTTTATCGGTGAATCCCATCACTCTCCCGACTCACTCTATTTTTTGTTAACTTCATACTAATCATCCTCGCCATTGACGGGTTTGAAATTCTTCTGGTACATGCGACACACAAAAATATTAAAATTCCAACATCAGAACAATGTCAAGACAGATGTTACAGCATCTGATCTGACATCCTGAACAGATGTAAAATAGAAACATAAACTAAATAAATATAAAATAAACACGGGGATATGTTAACCCAGTTTGGTGCAACATCACCTACTCTGGGGGCTACCAAGCCAGGAAGGAAGTCCACTATCAGCCGTATTAGTTCAAAGCTAAACTCCCCCGTTTACAACTTCTCGCCTAATATCTACCCAATGCTACTTCTACCTAGGTCCTCCCTGGATATGAGAAATTTCCACCCCACTTCCAATCACCGTAGTGATAAAAGACATATCCCAGTCATAGGGGTTGTCTATAAATATAAGTCACAGTCACAATAACTTGAACAAATAAAACAGGAAGATCATACTTCCAAATTACAAATACTTAGCCAAGATTCTTGACCAAGGAAGATAATTAGAGTTGCTTAAAAGCTTCCTCCAAGAACAATACTCACTCTTGCTTCTTAACTTCAAGGAGAACAATAAGTCTACCACATGTATCGAAAGATACAAGGGTTACAAACACCTACATAATACACAAGAGACTCTCAAAACCTAAGACTATTTTCTTCCCCTAATTTTACAATTGTTGAAAGATAAAAGTTGGAACTTTAGCTTTAGGTATTCTCTTTAAATACACTTCTTTAATCCACGGGCTTTGATATTCCGAGTCCAGAAGTTTCTTGATTAACAAGTTGAGAGTTGTATATTTTGTGCAGTAAAATCTCCTTAAATCTTGGAACAACCAATACAAAGTTTCCCAAATTGTCTCAAGAATCCAATTTAGTAACTAATGCATAGTTGGAGATATAATACCCTGTTCCAAATACAATCTTATAGACCTGCAAAATTAACTGAAACATATCCAAAAGAAATATTCCAGAATTAAATTAAATCTGTCAATATTTAAAACAGTAGTGCCCGTTGTATTGCAGAACCAGATCAAGATATCATGACATCTGCCTTCGACATCTGAATGAAAACACATAACAGTGAAATTATTATAACAGTTGATAAAGATATTGAAGCATCTTGTTCAACAACATAGAACCATGTTCAGAAACATGCCTAGCAAAAATTTATCCAACCATAAAAACATGGAACTGACAGGGTTTTCTACCCAAAATATTGGTCTAAGCTTCTTTTTAACAAGTATGCTTTCTCCAACTATACCAAGTTGGGTTTTCTTTCTATGGACAAGGTGACAGTGAAAGAGGAAATATAATTCGGGTTTCAAGGGCTTGGCTATGACAACACATTCGACCCTGGTGAGCTTCCTTCTACCAATGTGAGGAAAAGGCGAATTGATACTCATGCTATCTTAAATGTAGTTAATCTTGAGGGGAGGAGGAATATATTTGGTGAAAGTGGAGTCTTCATTCATTTTTACACGGGTGATTGCATTTTATAGATAACATGGATAAAATAAGTAAGTTGAACATGTTCTGCAACCTTGATGATGCTCAAGGTATTTAGGATATGCTGAATATTAAGGCTTCTTCTTCTAACCACATTCCTTCTTTGGCCACTTCTCTTATCTCGGTTGTAGAAGCTTTAGCTTTTTCATGCAAGGTGGATCATCTCGTGGATGCTGCGACCATTTTGTCGATTGGGGAACCAACTTTTCCTCTGATTTCCATGCACTTTTGAAAAGGTTGTCGCAATTGTTTTGACATCGGATTTATCCTTCTTCCAGAATCTATTTAAGGGGGGAAATATGGAAATGGCTTATGAGCTTGCCTATAACATGTTCAAAGCTTCTTCTATCTTTTCTTTTGTCTCTACTGGACATGGTGATGCCTTGGCCCCGGGTAGTCCCTTTAAGGAAAAGGATATTTGGAAATGGAAAGTTGAAGCTATGGAGATAAAGTGCACTAATCTTCAGAAGGAGCTTGTTGCTTTGTAAGAAGAAGTTAGAGTTTCTAACTCTTTGCAAGAGGCATTGAAAATAAATGGCTCCCTTTCTGTCCTGGTGGTTTATGTGACCGAGCAGAAAGATGTTCTCGAGGATGTAGAGAAGCAGTATAAGGTTGCTTTTGATTATATTAAGGATAAGGCTCGTCATGTGGAGGAGCACTAGAAAACCTCTACTCATACGACAGAGGCCTTGAAAGATCTATAGGAAGAGGTGGCCGATCTAAAGTCGGAGCTCAATAACCATCTTCAATAGACAATGCGAGACATGTTTGGAGTCCGTGAGAGGGATGTGGATCAGGAAAGGAAGTTCTTCCCTGATGTTGTGATATCCAATGAGGTTTTGGATCCTTTTAAGTATGCTTCCAGGGTGACTCAAGGAAGTGGTCCTGGTGCCTTAGCTTCAAATGCTTCGGCTTGATTTTCTTTTTGCTTTGTGTTATTTATCTGCTGAAATGTTTCCCAGGAATTATCCCTTGGGTGTAAATATTTTGAATATTTAATGGAACATTTTACCTTGATGCTTCAAGTATTATACACTTTAGAGCTTTAGGTTTTGCTTTAATGTTATCATTGCTTACAAGTTATTGTCATTCCGAAACTAACTCCTTTAATTTCTAAATTCTTTATTCACTTTAGAGTTTAGGTTGAACCACATGCTTTTATCATTTATGGAAGGATGTCCATTTTGGGCGTGAGAGTCTCTAGTATTTGATTTACGAAAGAAGTAATACATTTGATAGTAATTAAGAGACATATATGTCCCTTGATTTTTCTAACTTTTTGTAACTTAGTACATTAAATAATGTTAGATATCATTTTTGTTTGCTATACTCGTCTGTTGTATTAAGCATTTGATGTAGTAATGTACTAATTTGTATGTCGTGTTTGGAGAATTGCTTGCGATATATGTGACAAGGCATGGGATTGGTGAAGTTGAGGTCATGTAATCATAGTTTGTACGTTGCTCTGTGTCACAGAGGACTGTTCCTCGGCCAAGGGGTATGATCTTTGTCCCTGCGTATGATGCTTGGCTCGGATTGAGGTAGATGTTTTCGGGTTCCACCATATGCGCACTAGGATTGGCTAGATCTGGAGGGGGTGTGCTATCTATGTAGAAGTACTTTTAATAATCCTCAAATGTGAGGTGTGCATTTGAACCATATTAGAATCGCAGAAGTGTGTTAAGTATGTATCGGATATGCAATAGGGCATGAAATATGCTTAAGACATATCAAAACTGTAGAAATGTGTTAAGTCCAATCAGATACACAATCGGGCGTAGAGTGTGCTTCAAACCGTATGAAAATAGGAGAAATGCATTAAGTCTGTATCAAATACACAATCTGGCGTATAGTGTGCTTTAAGTCATATCGAGATTGTAGAAATGCGTTAAGTCAGTATCAGATACACAACCAGACATATAATGTGCTTTAAGTCGTATCAGAATCACATAAATGAGTTAAGTCCGTATCAGATACACACTCAAACATTTGTCTTCATTCTCGTGTCTCGAGTGTTCTAGCAGAAAGAGAGACAAAGAAGAATTCAACAGAGAAAGGAGAAGGATATATATATATATATATATATATATATATATATATATATATACACACACATACACATACACTTATATCAATAATGAATTAAATTTTTTGCAAATAAATAATGAAATAGAGAAGTGGATAAACCTTCAACGATGACCCCGACATGGTTGGTTGACGTCCAGAGTTTTTGTTCGTTATCATTTATCGAGGCTAAGGGCTGGATGTGTTTCACTCTTTAAAGTGTCTCCTTTGGTTAGAAACTATCCGAGGTTCCTTGCCTCACATTTTCCTGTTGATGTGTGTTGAAAGATCGACTTCTCCAAATATGTAACTTGAGGTCAACAATTGAAACATTTTTCTCTTTGAGTTGCTGTGAGAAACACTTCGATGAGGTGTTTTTAGATCACCAGGGCTTAGATTTCTCTACTTCCTTCTTGTCCCGAATTGGGTATTCACCTTAAGTAGAGTCGACGTTCTTCTGCGGCAGATATGTCAGACTGCTTCTCTCGGAACCAGAATAATGGTAGGACGTTGATAGTGTCCCTTAACAGGCCAGTCCAGTATTTCCTTTAGAACAGGGATGCAGAAAGATGGTTGGTGAACCACCATTCTTTGATATGGACTGATGAGACCTTAGTGCATCAAGTAAAAATCCTATGGTATCCACAACATGCACCCTGGTATTGGATCGATGCTCAGTGTTAACTATGAACTTGTAGTATCTGGGTGTCATTAACTACGAACTTATGGTATCTTGAAGGATTCTCCTAGGTATCAGCTTCCGAATGAGGGAAATGCGAGGACGACCCTAGGTCGAGAGACGAATTGTGAATTTCAGGTTCGACCGTCATGGAAATCACCTTTAGACCCCGGACAACCCTAGATCTGGATCTGTGAGTTTTCCTTTTCTATTCTATGGATTTCTCAAAGAAATAGGATATTTGGGTTCTAAAGAAGTGGAAGGGAAGTGATGGTTGACAAATCCCAATCTTTGTTCTCAAACGCTTTCTGATTATGAGATTTGAGGAAGTTGTGAACGTTAAGGATGGAGAAAGAATGTGAATTTAGAAAAACATAGGAATCAAAAGTTGATTTCCTCTTGATTCGATAACCCGAGAAGGTTACGAGCTGGTAAACCGGAGATCTGGATCTGAACCACAAGAATCTAGATTTGGAACTTCTATGTTTGCTCAATGGTGTTCATGAATCAAACACAATTTTTATGGTAATCGTAGGAATCAAAAGTTGTTTCCTACAGACGACGTCGTTGTTCAGTATGGGATAAGAAATGAATGCTCTAGCTCCACGAAGGAACCATAAATGAAGACAATTGGATAACTTGTGATCTTGAACGATGGCTATGATCTCCTTTACGGTGGCGTGGGGTGGACCTGCATGGTTAGCACTCCAACACCCAAGTCAGTTCAAGATTCAAGATGAGTATAGTAAAATCGGGAATCAGATATTATATCTTTCTATTAGCATGTGAACTATTTATATACTTTGGGTCTAATAGAGTGAATTTGAGATGGATTATGTCTTGATCAAATGACACCAAGGTGTCAAACTTAATATTATGACACCTCTGATATCTATTTACTGCATATTTGTATAACAAAATCAATCGTTGGATTTAAAGCTATTATTATATAGATCATGTATATAAAATTTAACATCAATAAAAAATCATTTGATATGTTAAAAAGAATGACCAAAATTAACCGTTTTGATGAAATTTTATAAAACGTTAATTTTTATGCATCCCATTGACATGGAAAATGATTTATGATTGATGTTAAATTTTATAAACATGGCTTATATGATAACAGCTTTCAATCCAACAGTGGATTTTATTATACAGACTAACGCTAAAGAGTTATCAGAGGTGTCAGTTGTTAAGTTTGACACTTTGGTGTCATTTGATCATGATTTCTGATTGATGCTAAATTTTATAAACATGATCTATATGATAACGATCAATCAAATGGTGGATTTTGTTATACGGATTAACGGTAAAGAGTTATCAAAAGTTAGATATTAAGTTTGACACTTTGATATCATTTGATCTTCTCTCTCTCTCTCTCTCTCTCTCTCTCTCTCTCTCTCTCTCTCTCTCTCTCTCTCTCTCTCTATCTATCTCTCTCTCTATCTATCTATCTATCTATATATATATATATATATATATATATATATATATATATATATATATATATATATATATATATATATATATATATATATATATATATATATATATATATATATATATATATATATATATATATATATATATATATATATATATATATATATATATATATTCTCTTACTTTGTTGTTTTCTTTTTTGCATTACATCTAAGGGAATTTATTGAAAAATAGTAAAGGAACTTTAATTTTTGGAAATTAAGATATAGACAACTTATTTGATTAAAATGTAAAACATGAGTTCGCATATGTTGTTGACATGATATTTATAGGTGGCCTGCTTCAAATTCCTTAATTATCGAGACTAATTCCGGTTGAAAGTAGCCTGAAAGTGACAATTTCATCATATCATGAGGACATAGTTAGTAGGAGGCTTTACTATTAGAGAGTCGATGGTTTCTCTATTTTGCTTTGAGCACATTTTGCTCTCATATTGATATAAAATATACATTTCATAATATTTTATCACCATAGTTATTATTAAATCAACTGAAGTAATAATTCTTATTTAGGCACTTTTATTTTTTTATTAAAGTTTTTTCACCACGGTTACTAACAACGATGGTGATATATTAAGGATTGCTCTTTTATTTTTTTATTAAAGTTTTTTCACCACGGTTACTAACAACGATGGTGATATATTAAGGATTGCTCGCTTTGAATTCTAGAACTAGTAATTTTTTATTTTTTCGTTACAAAAAAGTGTGTCCTCTTAATTTGCATATTTATATTAAAATTAAAATACTTTTCACCACGGTCATTACTACCAACCGTAGTGAAATGTGACGTTCATTTTTTTCAAGCTTAAAGAGTTCAGTTTTCATAATAGCACAAAATTTAGTTTTTATAGTCACAGTTTTATAATCTCAAAGACGTTTTGTGTACAACATCTTCATTCATTTTTTCTATACCTTAAAATTTTTGGCAAAATAGATCAATGTTAAGATTCAAACATATCGTTTACTTGATAAAGCGAATCTTAACATTAATTTTTAAACCAAGTTTTTCAATATATTGTATTAACTTTTTAATAGTAGATTTTGACCATACCCACACGCCCATCAAGTAGTGGATTTTTTAGGCTTAAGCGGAGGTGGACTGGACCGTCCCGAGCAGGTTGAGAGTGAGCCTTCCTTGGATCAAATTGTATATATTGCAAACACAAGACTTCAATTATGATCCGCCTTTCTCTCGTTACTTCATTTGCGTTATTTATCTCTAAAGGATCCCTTATGTTCT